GATATACAGATCCATTATTCATTTAGCTTCTGGTGTTCCCGGATATACAGATCCATTATTCATTTAGCTTCTGGCGTTCCCGGATATACCGATCCATTATTCATTTAGCTTCTGGTGTTCCCGGATATACAGATCCATTATTCATTTAGCTTCTGGTGTTCCCGGATATACAGATCCATTATTCATTTAGCATCTGGTGTTCCCGGATATACAGATCCATTATTCATTTAGCTTCTGGTGTTACCGGATATACAGATCCATTATTCATTTAGTTTCTGGTGTTCACGGATATACTGATCCATTATTCATTTAGCTTCTGGTGTTCCCGGATATACCGATCCATTATTCATTTAGCTTCTGGTGTTCCCGTATATATAGATCCATTATTCATTTAGCTTCTGGTGTCACCGGATATACCGATCCATTATTCATTTAGCTTCTGGTGTTCCCGGATATACAGATCCATTATTAATTTAGTTTCTGGTGTTCCCGGATATACAGATCCATTATTCATTTAGTTTCTGGTGTTCCCGGATATACAGATCCATTATTCATTTAGCTTCTGGTGAGGGGTGGGTGCGGTTGGTTGAAGACGACATATTTCGACAAAAATATTTTTCAAGGGGAATATTGCTTCGATGGTAGTGCATTTTTAGTTCAAAGTCATCATGTTAACTCTATCAAGATACTAAAAATTTAATAACTGAAATCCGCGTAAATTTTGATATGAAAGGAGGAAAAAAATATTAATATTTTACTGAAATTAAACTGGAACATTTTGATAATTGTTAAAAAAATCTATTATATATAAAAATCGAGTAGAATTGATAATGCATATGTGTTGGGTGTTGGGTCATTTTATAGAAAACATTTCATAGAAAGACATTTTATAGACAGGACATTTCATGGATAGGACATTTCATAGACAGGACATTTCAAAGATAGGATATTTCATAGATAAAATATTTAATTGACAGGACATTTCAAAGATAGGATATTTCATAGACAGAACAATTCATAGATTGGACATTTAATAAACTGAGAATATTTTTCAAAGATTGTGACACATTTGTTCCATACCCAAAACCTTGAATTGTCTCTGAAAAAAATTGCTTTTGTGTATTTGAAATTACCTTTCCATGAAAATTCTTCTCTGTCTATGAAATGGTTTTGCATCAAATTCGGAACTTCTCCTGTCTATGGATAGTCCTATCTATGAAATGTCTGATTAAGAATTTCTTTTTCTATAAAATGTCATACCTATGAAATTTCATGTTTATAAAATGTCCTGTATATGAAATGTCCTATCTGTGAAATGTCCTATCTATGAAATGTCATCTCTATGAAATTTCCTGTTTATGAAATTTCCTGTCTAAGAAATGTCCCATCTATGAAATGTCCTGTCTATGAAATGTCCTGTCTATGAAATGTCTTGTCTATGAAATGTCATGTCTATGAAATGTCCTATCTATAATATTGTTATCTATGAAATGTCCATCAATGGAATGTCCATCAATGGAATGTCCATCTATGAAATGTCCTGTATTAAAATGTCCTGTCTATGAAATGTTCTGTCTATGAAATGTCCTGTATTAAAATGTCCTGTCTATGAAATGTCCCGTCTATGAAATTTCCTGTATTAAAATGTCCTGTATATGAAATGTCCTATCTATGAAATGTCATGTCTGTGAAATATCCTATCTATAAAATGTCTATCTATTAAATGACCCAACACCTGAAAAAGTGTCAACTTTTTCTTTTTATTACGGTGTCTGCCTACACCTGTTAGTTATAATTAGATATACTTTTTACCCTTAAAAACAAAAAACTTAAATTACCTTAACGTTTTTTTCAATTTATTGTAAATAATATGTAATAGATCAAAACAAATAATATATAGCTTAGATTTCTGACTTGCAATTCAGGAATTTATGGCATATCTACATTCTACATTCTAAATGCATGTGTTTTCCAAGTGCAATTTTTTATACTTAATAACACTTATAAAATGAATAAGAAATACTCATTGATATACTATAAAAGGAGAAAGTCAGATGATGACAGTAATTACAAGTCTAGACGGAGGAGCAGAGAACTCAAGGATTCCATCCCACCTCGGGTGTACAGGAGAACAGGAACTAATCAGCTCCAGGAATACAGGAGAACAGGTACTAATCAGCTCCAGGAATACAGGAGAACAGGTACAAATCAGCTCCGGGTATACAGGAGAACAGATACTAATCAGCTCCAGGAATACAGGAGAACAGGTACTAATCAGCTCCAGGAATACAGGAGAACAGGTACTAATCAGCTCCAGGAATACAGTTGAACAGGAACTAATCAGCTCCAGGAATACAGGATAACAGGTACTAATCAGCTCCAGGAATAAAGGAGAACAGGAACTAATCAGCTCCAGGAATACAGGAGAACAGGTACTAATAAGCTCCAGGTTTACAAGAGAACAGATATTGATCAGCTCCAGGTTAACAGGAGAACAGGTACAAATCAGCTCCGGGTATACAGCAAAACAGGAACTAATGCGTTCCGGGTATACTGGTGATCAGGTACTAATCAGCTCCGGGTAAACAGCAGAACGGAAACTAATACGTTCCGGGTATACTGGAGAACAGGTACTAATCAGCTCCAGGTATACAGGAGAACAGATACTAATCAGTTTCGCAGCAATAAACTTAAAAAGGTTAAGATCCGGAACCAAATAAGAACACTGATGTAAAAATAAATAACTTACAGTATACGCTGAAGAAGAAAAAATAATCTAAAAGCCTGAAAATATTTTTTCTTTTCTCCAAAACAAATTCACCAGGAAATAAGAAAACAAAATTGAGAAAATTATGTTTTCAAAGCTTTTGATGCAGAGTATCTTTTAAAAGTAAATTATCTTTTTTTATGCCATTCATAAATACATACAAACTTCTAACCCAATGATTAAATATTTATTTGGATAACTAGTCTTGGGTCTCATAGGTAAACCAAGAACAAATATTTACTGCATACACAATATACAACCTACAATATATACATTAAACAATTTACTAAACATGATGCTATGTAAACCAACCTACTTGAAACTGATCTCGAGGGCTTTAAATATTCCGTATATCATCAAATTACCCTATTCACACCTACTGACAGGGAGTTGAGCTTAAAGTGCAGTATTATTCTAAAGGAAAACTTTAGGATTCATTTGATACCAAGGAGACATTTTTATTGTGTACAATTTTTAAATAAGAGCGTTAAGTCTTTGTAATATTTGGCCAGTGGTTTCAGTCAGCAGAAGAAACTACCGTGTCTAGCAAGTCACTCCCTTTAATAATATTAACTTTAATGGGATCGTTCATGATATCCAAGTAGAAACAAAGTTTTAATTCTATCTTACATTTTTTCTTTCAATTTTGCTAAACAGAATAATAAGAGCAAAATACGATGATTGCTCGGTGATAGTAAATATCAAACTGAAATGAGGATGTGAAAAAAAACTTATCTGGAAATATTAATTTTTTAAGATATCTTCAACTTCAGGGGAAAAATTAAGAGGTTTTAATTATTCTATCCTGGTTTATTTAAAATTGATTAGATCTTTATTTTTATCTCAATCAATCTTTATATTTTAGAGGAGGCTTGCAGCAGTGCAGGAGGAAGGAGAACAGTCAAATTGTAAAACTTTGACAACCTCACTTTAAACCAGATAAATCCAGATTCATCAAACACTGAAGTTCCAGATGGTTTCATTTTTTAACCCAGATATATCCAGATTCATCAAACCATCAAATTCCGGATGGTTTCTGGGTTTAAACCAGATAAAACCAGATTTATCTAACCATCAAGTTCATGGTGATTTCAGAGTTTAAACCAGATAAAACCATATTCATTAAGTTCCGGATGGTTTCGGTTTAATTGGATCAAAAACATTAAAGTTTTTTAAAGTCTGGACTGTAAAGTTACACATTCTGACACAGAAAGTTAAAGATTTCTAAAAAAGAAAATTACAAATTTCTGAAAAAGAAGAACAAAGTAGAAGAAAGGCTTGCGCGCATCATCAGGTTGAAAAGATATAAGGATTAGAAAATTGAAGTTTGAGCTAAGTGTTCACTTTCTATGGGAGAATTTTAATATTTTTTGCTCGTTTATTCTTTATCTTTCCTTGAAAATATAAAATTGGGTTTAATTTACAGAAATTCATAGTTCACAATAATAGTATAGTATTATTGCTGTTATAGACACAGCTTGACAAATCTATTGTGTTGTGAATTCTTGTTACAATACATACATCACTGAACAAGATTACATTAAATTCTTGTTACAATACATACATCACTGAACAAGATTACATTAAATTCTTGTTACAATACATACATCACTGAACAAGATTACATTAAATTCTTGTTACAATACATACATCACTGAACAAGGTTACATTAAATATTCTTGTTACAATAAATACATCAATGAACAAGATTACATTAAATTCTTGTTACATTACATACATCACTGAACAAGATTACATTACGCTTGTTTGTATTATGTATTATGTCTATATATAAATGTATATATGTATGTATAAGAAAATTATATAATTTAAATTTAAAAGTTGTTGAACTTGTTTATTGTTGTGTTATGCTATATACTATATATTTAAGAAATTTTAAGAAAAAATTTTGAGAAAGAACTGAACGCTCCATTGAACATCCAGAAACTTTTGGATAAGAGATAAAAAAGAAATAAAAATACACATCTCAAAATTTAAGAAGGTTTTGATATTGTTAACTAAAATATTCAATCAAATGTTACCTTCATCTACAATGACGACTTTGATTAAAAAAAAGAACATTTATTTTGCAGAATTTATTTAACAGAAACCACAGCGGCAGCCGTAGTACATTTGAATTTCCGAGCCGGGTCAACCTTTCCGGTCCCAGTTTGTACTGTTTGAAATCTGAAATCGTCGTTCGAACAATTATGTTTGACGACAAAAATTCTCCTAATTTTGTAGCTTTAAATCTCAACATGATGCTATGTAAACCAACCTACATAAAAATTATCTCAAGGGGTTTAAACCATGCATGTATGATGTCTCAGTAGTACCTCAAGCATATGTTCAGATCTCTATTTATGACTCGATCAATTGGGTCGTAAAAAGATAAAATTCTCTCTAATTAAAGAAAATAGTAGAATTCGGTTGCTAATAATCTTTGAAAACTTCTGAAACAATGTTTACAAAAATACAAAATTAGCTGATTCTTCAATCTTTCTTCAAGTTTGGTATAAATAATTTGGACAAAAGGGTTAAAATTTCCTTTTGCGGAAACAATCTATTTCGGTGTAGGATGCCTTCCTCCTCTCTTGGCAGTTAGTTCAAAAATATAGACTCTTCTAGATTCCGAGTTTTTATTGCCCAATACTTTAAAATCTGTTTTAAAATCTTTATTCAATCTTCAAAATCCTTATTATTTTTCTCAAACTCTATAGATAAAGATACTTTTTTGTATAAATCTTGCAAACTTTTTTTTTGCTCAAAAAAATCTTAAACACATTGCGTAATATATTGTTTTAGTAATAGCATTTTGAATTATAAATCAGTATTAACTAAAACTGTAAATTTGATATGAATTTTTCGCTCTAAAAGTTTGGCGATCAAAGGCTACACACCTTTCTAAAATAAAATGAAAAATCTGCCAATTCATAATTGAGAATTCATGATTGAGAATTCATGAGTGAGAATTCATGATTGAGAATTCATGATTGAGAATTTATGATTGAGAATTCATAATTGAGAATTCATAATTGAGAATTCATGATTGAGAATTCATGATTGAGAATTCATGATTGAGAATTCATGATTGAGAATTCATGATTGAGAATTCATGATTGAGAATACCAAACTTGTGAATCGTTTATTCAAGATCAAATTATGCATGACATTTTTTTCATTCACAAAAATTATTAGAATTGTTAGTTTTCATTAATATTAGATCTACATTCAACATTTTCATTAATATTAGATGTGCATTCAACATTTTCATTAATTTTAGATGTAACATTTAACATTTTCATTAATATTAGATGTACATTCAACATTTTTATTAATATTAGATGTAACATTCAACATTTTCTTTAATATTAGATGTACATTCAACATTTTTATTAGTATTAGATGTAACATTCAACATTTCCTTTAATATTAGATGTAACATTCAACATTTTCTTTAATATTTTTCCAACTTTAAAAAGAAAATAGTCTTTCTTATTTCCGATATAGACCAGTATCGTAGATTTAAACTCTCACCCTCTGTATGAATTCTGCAGTACATGTTTGTGAATATTGTGTTCTATCGGTCTGTATTCTGTTTGTGAATATTGTACCCTCTGTATGTGTTTTTGAATATTGTACTCTCAGTATGTATTCTGCAGTACATGTTTGTGAATATTGTACTTATTGCCCAATAGTAATTATAATTACTACCCACAAGTTCTTAGTTCAAATCCTTATTTATCTGTAACCCGAGATGGAAATTAAAGAATTTGAGCCGCGGTTTGAATCTGCCAAAACCTGGTTTAAATTAAGCGCCGGTTTAAATCTTGAAACATTTGATACAATTTTAAGTGGAACCAACCATATTTAAACCGCGGCTTAAATTTAAACCGCCGCTCAAATTCTTTAAATTCGGCCACTGATTATGTAAATCTTTGATATTTGAAACTTTGACGCTTTGATCTGGAAGACTTTAGAGTTAAAAATTTTGGGCGACATCAGGTTGCAAAGATTTAAGAATTGAAAAATTATAATGTCTAGATTCCCATAACATATTGACCAGATATGAATAATTATGTTATAGTTTTCTTAATTTTTGTTTACAATAACCTTATACAGTACAAACCTCGAGGTGTACCCGGTGATAAATTAAGGGAAGATATGTGGAGCAGGTCAAATAGGTCAAAAATAGGCCGGGTACCCATTGAACCGATAGGATAGGGTCGGTACTTACCGCGCGTCAGTAAGACCGTTACAAGTGGTGGGTCCGGTTCAAATTTAAATTGACACTAATCCTCCGTCGTGAAACAATTTAATTGCGAAAAATAATGTTCAGAAAAAAAGTCTCTCCAAACAAGGCAGGAGAGTGAGAGGACAGCTGCGACCTTGTAAAATGTCTGGTTTTCATTTTACTCAAGAGAGAGGAAAAGTAAACTTTTAACAAAAGGACTCGACACTTTTTTATCAATAGCTCTTCAGATAAAACTTTTTATAAGTTTACTAAAGTTGAACTGATGGTGCAATATATCTGGCGAAAACAAAATTAGTTTGTCTCTCTATTTACAGTGAAATTCAAACACAGGACTAAAACTAAACATATTTTGTATTTCTGCATAAAAATATTTAACTTCTTTATATATAACTAGATTAAAATCTTTTTGCCATATATTTTGTTACTACCGAAAAATCATAAGATTTTAAAACAATCGAAAAAGAATATATATTTCAAGGTTTGTGATTTGTCTTAAAGGAACTGAGCCCGCGATTTCAAAGATTCTGTTCGGGTCGAATTTCCTTAAACCAAACTGAAAATAAAACCGACCTTCGTTGGTTTTAGTGGAGAATAAGGCTCAATGTTGAGTCTTGTTCTCATCAAACCCCGAAATGCGCCGATGCCAACCATGAAAATTCAATATTAAACCGGTTTTATGATAGAACATTAAACCGGTTTTATAATTCAACTCTGTGGAAAATTAGATGCAACTTAAATCCGAAAGCCCAAGCCGTAAATAGGGCCCAACGACAGCTTAGACCGTTTTTTCCTGAATTTTTTAAATCGCGGGCTCTGTAGTCATGATTTCCAGTGTCTTTCCTTTTCTGGATTGGCAAGTCCGATCAACAATGGTATCCTTAAAAGCTTTGGCTGATAAAGAATGAAGAAGATATCCATGATTATTTTTGAAAACTTTATTTTTTTTTAATTGAGGGCTCTTTACATAACTGACTTATGCATTTCTTCTGCAGTTTAAATAAGAGGAAGTTATCAGAATTAAACACTTTTCAAGATAGTAAAATGACGATATCTTCCACAGTCCCTTTAAACATAAACATTATACTTCTAAAGCAAGACCCCAATACAAGATTCCATGAGGGGTTTGGATTTTTAGAAATTACATTTCTTTATCTTATTCAGATCTTAGTATAAGTCTCGTCACAGAGATATTTAAATCTGAGCAGATTTATCTAAAGTAAAAAAGCATCAGGTAAAAAGTTTTAACTTTTGGCAGTTGTGAACATCTTTGTAAAAATAAATCCTTTTTTTGTAATAATTCCTAGAATTTGTGTTTTGGATGTTTTTGCGTAATTCAAAAAAATAAATGTTTACTTTAAATGTAATTTGATGTATGTTTAAATTGGAATAAAATTTTTAAAAAGGACAAAGTCTTTGATGGCATGAAAAGTTCAGAACACAGGAACTTTAGAGATTAGAAAATCAGAGTTTTTGGCAAAAACTCAGTTTTTTGTATTCCCATATTTTATTTTTATGTTTAAATTTAATGTCTAAGAATAAATTCAAATTATAACTTATTATTTTATTCAGAAAAATCACGTTAATGTTTTTTATTTGATCTGTTAGTTCAGCTTATTTGTGTACAAGGAAATACAATATTCTCCGTGAAATTGAAGTTGTAAATTCTTAATTGATATATCACGCCCAACCAATGTACATTTGAATATCCGAGCTGAGCCAACCTTTCCAGTCCTACTTTGGACTGTACCGCCAATTTACAGTTATAAAGCGGCAGAGGAGTGTGATATCTGAACTGAGAAAGAATTTTAATGTATTGTGAAGTGGGTATCTAGATGAGGAGAACTTAAGTATCAAGTGTATTTTTATTTCCTTTATCTATACCCACTCTATAGTCCAGCGTAGTACAATATGTCATGGATATATTTTGATTTCCTTTATCTATACCCACTCTATAGTCTAGCGTAGTACAATATGTCATGGATATATTTTTATATCCATTATCTATACCCACTCTATAGTCCAGCGTTGTATTTTCTTCAAAATAATCTATTGTTTTCAGATACCATAGTTATACTAGCTTGGGAACCCAGCGTTGCCCAAGGTACTCATAGTTACTCCCGCAGTTTACCCGCGCTTGGTTTTAAATTATGATTTTGGTTTTAAA